AGACGAAGTATTCGAATATTCCGAAGCTTCGAAGCTGACAGAGGCTTCGGATCTGCCAGTGCCCATTCGAATCTTCACACGTTTATTTATACGCAAGCGCTATGTATACAATTTTTGATTAGAAAAAATGGCATCAGATAAGGGCGCGGTTGGAAGTAGTTGTAAAAAGGTTTCGGACGTATGGAGTTTTTATAAGAAACGTCACAACCGTAGGAAAGCCATGTGCACTATTTGTAAAAAAGAATTTGCCTATTTAGGCAGGACAACAAACCTACGAAATCACCTCGCGTCGAAGCACTCGACTCTTTACTGTCCGGACATCGAGACAACCACAATGGATTGCAGGAAGATGCCTACCTTTGATGGATTTGTAAGGCCAGCGAAGTGCAATGATACACGTGCAAAGAATATAACATACAGAGTGACTCAAATGATCGTTCAAGACCTACGCACCATTCGAACTGTTGAATGCTTAATGAAGTACTTGGAGCTGGGATATGTCTTACTAAGCAGAAAACAATTTACCGCTGATATCAACCTTAAACATGCAACGTGCAAACAACATCTGAAAGAAAGGCTAAGTGAAGAAGCAGTGTTTATATTGTTAACCACGAATATATGGACAAGCATCGCGACAGAAAGTTACATCACCGTAACAGCGCATTACATTGATAACAGCTGGGTGCTACAGGCCTTTGTACTGGAAACCTTACCTTTCTCAGAACGGCACACGGGGATAAACATTGCAGAAAAGCTGAAGAAAGTGGTGGAAGAATGGGAGATTATGGATTATGTAATGCTACTAAATAAAATCTTCCAGATTCCAGAAGGCCTGTAATCAAACTCTAGGAAATCTTCCTTGCTCAGACTACACAACTGCTATCTAGTCATATTAAACTTTAACAGGTCAAATGCCTGAAGGTCAAACTCATGTACAATCAAACTGTAACAAATTAAATACATACATTGTTTTAATATAACAAGTATACTCAATTGTAAGAAGCTTCGAAGCTTCGGTAGTTATCTTGCAAGAAGCTTCGAAGCACTACTTATAATATTTGTTTCAGCCCTACTGTCCGAAAATTGAGCGAATCTTGATTTGTCTGAGAAAAATACAGTCTTCCAAAAGTCCAGAGGCTTGGTCATCATATCACTTGCCCACTTCTTTCATCTGACTATGTTGGCAGGTCTTAATAAGGGCTTCCGACAAGCTGCTCTGCAATGATAACTCAATCTG